TTTTTTTTTGATGAGGTGATGATGTTGGATCGCCCCATTAACTTAAACCTACTTATTGTCGAATAGTTCCTTGTATTCGAAAAAAGGCCGATTGGGCCCTCCGATGGATCTCCGATCGTCAATCCTCCTTTGCTGAACGACTTGTCGCATTTGCGGCGGTCGAGGGAATATTCTTTTCGGGGTCATTCGCATCCATCTTTTGGCTCAAAAAAAGGGGTCTAATGCCAGGATTGACGTTTTCCAACGAACTAATTTCCCGGGATGAAGGTTTACACTGTGATTTTGCCTGCCTGCTCTTTTCTCACCTGCGCACGCGACCTTCACAGAAAACGGTCACCGCGATCATTACCGAAGCCGTCAAAATTGAACAAGAATTTTTAACTGAAGCCCTACCTGTGAAGCTCATTGGGATGAATGCGACGTTAATGAAACAATATATAGAATTCGTTGCCGACCGATTGCTGGTTGCTTTGGGTTGCGAGAAATATTACAAGTCCGAGAATCCTTTTGACTTCATGGATCTAATCTCCTTACAAGGCAAAACCAACTTTTTCGAAAAGCGAGTTTCAGATTATCAGAAGGCAGGTGTTATGAGCAAATCAAGGTCATCGCACGTCAATGATCCCTCGGAAAATATTTTCACGCTCGACGCTGACTTTTAAGCAAGTGGAACAATTAGTATTTATTTATGATGAACGCATGTATATACTATGATGTTTGGGTATTGGAAGTACGGACATATTAATATTACCAATTTTTAAAATCCGTTTTTTTTTTTTTTCCGTTCACATTGTAATTCTGAAATAATAATAAATTTGTATTGTTGCAAAACACATGCCACTTTTACGAATGAATTTGACGAATTAACACTCCATATCACATCTCGTTTAATTAACTTACAATGAATTGTTAAATAATTATTAATCTGGTTGGTGCAAAAAAAAAAAAAAAAAAAAAAAAAATAAGTAAAATAAAAAGCGGATGCAGAAAATCTAATTCGAAAGAAAAAAGAACAGAATGTACATAAATGAAAGTGAAATGCAATAGTATAAACAGGGATGCGCATTGCAATGCGTCAAAACAAGAAAACATGACCAGCACAAGAAATATGAAATCTTTATACAAGAGAATAATATATACGCCGGAATAAAGAAAAAAAGAACTACATTATATACGGTCGGGTGATTGTCGCGTAAGGAAGGTAAAAACATCTCTGATGATAATACTTTTTTGTTACGTGGATGATCGTAGGAATGATCAACCGCCGTAAAGTTGCCATTAAAAAGAAAGAAAAAAAAAAAAAAAACTTGGAAAAAATGAATTCATCTTATTAATAATGATACCCATTGGGTCCTCCCACTCTCGGACTACCCGAATGCTGATGTGAGAGCGGAGGAGGTCCCACTCCGTTGGAATGTGATGAGGCTGGATGATGCCTATTGCCATTATATCCACCGGCCGAGGCCAACGGATCTCTATCTCTAATGAAGTCCGTCAACGGATGACCCATAATTTGCGGTTGACTACCATTCGAGGGGCCAACGGGCTCCAACTGTGAGGGCGATTGGTGATGGTGAGATGGTGTTACCACAGGTTGCAGCAAACGTGAACTACTACTCGTCCGTGGAGGGGGTGGAAGAGAATGATAACTTGAGAGGTGACCCTGAGGTTGAGGGACGCCTCGGGAAGTTTGACCTATTGCGGGAGAGTGTGGTGGTACCTGTGGAGGTGGCACCGGTGATGACTTTCCTGAAACGTGATTATACGCGTGTGGTGGTGGTGGTGGTCCTTGCGAGACAGGTGGTGGAACCATGTACTGCTGTGGGGGCTGATTAATCTGAGAGGATTGATGATAATGATGACCTTGTGCGTGGGGATGACTATGGTGGTGGGTCTGGTTGTCCGATGGGTAGTGATTGTGTGTGTGCGCTGCATATGAAGAATGATGATTATGTTGTTGATGCTGTTGTGAGGGTGAAGATTGTATTGGAGGTAGCATTGGGGGTTGTTGCTGAAACATGCTATTCGTTCGTGATGGCGTAGAGTTTCTATGCTGTTGTTGTTCGGAGGGAGCAGGTGGCGAAAGCATATTCGGCAGCGAGGAAGTATGCCTTTGATGAGGGTGTTGACTCTGAGGCGGATGTACGGATGTTAAATTTGGCGAGTGATGAGAGCCCACCGGTTGACGGTGCGATGGCTCCGGAACAGGCGGACCGTTCATTGATGGCGGCGGCGGCGGCGGTGGTGGTGGTTGTGGATAACCGTGCACACCTCTCGACGCCGGAACAGAATTGATCGGAGGATCCGAAATGCGACGAGGGTGCATGCCCTGAGAATTCACCTATAATACGAATGGCATTTATCATCGGACGGTCAAATCGGGAAATCATGCCTTTTCACAATCTCATAAATTTTAACGAACAATACCTCCGAAGGATGCATATAGCCCGGATTACCCTGTTGATGAATCGGAGGATATCCAGGATGTGATTCCACGCATGGAGCGTACATGCCATTACCGTTAACTTGAGGGTGATGCATCGAGAGGTTCACCATCCCGTGATCACCGTTCATCGACGGAGAACCATTAGGTACCATCGACTGTCGATTAAGAGCCCCGTTACTTGAGGGCGGTTGAGGTGATATATGATCTTCACCTCCGCTATTATTTCCCTGCTGCCGTTGCTATATATAGCACACAAGTTTGGTGAGACGTGGATGCACATAAATTTGAAACCTTGCGCCTACACATAAATATAGTTAAAGGTGTAATGATATAAAAAAGAATTACAAACTTTTATGCCATAAATCATGTATGGAATATAAGCGTGTGTGGCATTCCGCTTTTTTTTCGGATTGTTCTTCTGTTGCAAAAATGGATTAATCAATCACATGCCATTCCCAATGATGAAAAGGTACGTAGCAGGTTAACACACGCACCATATCAGCATACTTTTTCAATATTTGAGCACCCAAGTGCTCGCGCATCGGAGGCATTTGACCATTTGACTGTAATTGTTGTATAGGTGGCTGCGAAGGTGGCATATCCTATGCGCCATGGTAACAACAAGAAAAGTCGCGTAAATTAAGATTCACGGTAATAAAAAGATATTTGGATATTAGAGAGGGTGAATGTTTGACTTACTGGATAGGCTCCGACCATACCGCCAACTCCCGGACCAGGAGAAAATCCATTAGGTACGTGAGCAGGTGATGGGGAAGTTTTCGATTGATACCTATCATTCTGATTACTTGGGTTCATCAGGTAGTGATGCCTGATATTTAAAGATTTGGAATCAACGGGACTCGGAGGTGATCCAACGCCTTTCGATTGTAACGGGAACCGACCGGAATTCTCGACCGGTAGGCCATTATGAGTTGTTGATCTCGTATTAACATATGATGATGGTGGTGGTGCCTGTTGTGATTGTTGTGGTAGCAGTGATGGCGGTGGTGGTTGTGAGGATGGCGGTTGGTGTTCCCAATTCATATTGTTGTATCCATGGTTAGCTGCTTAAATTCTTTAATGTTACTAAAGAAAAACAAACAAACAAACAAGTAAAAGAAAGTCAACGATCTCGATGAATCAACGAACCTTGTGGCATTTGAATCAGATTGTTCGACTTTCTTTCTTCACTCAACTCTCTCAGATCGTTCAACTTTGAACCACCAGAGGCCCCTAGCGGGTAAATAGGTTCCGCATTTTGATGATGTACTTTTTCTGTTGACGATCACGTGAAAAGTCAGGTGACGACAATGGTGAAAGATTAAATTGAAAAAGCGAATGAAGGTCCACGTACGATAGTCGTTTGCATTAGATAGCCTACGTTTCTGAGGACTACGCTTTGTAATGACTTTGTGATCCTTTTGGGGAATTCTCGACGGACTAACCAGCAATTGTGACGATCCGTTCTGTCGGCGCGCAAACCGTGTTAATCAAGGCAATGTATACGCACAGAAGTTTGCATTAAGGGTGAGGATGTTAGTTACCGATAGCCGCTTTGAATGTTTCCGGCCACCTCCGAGATCATTCGGATGGTACTCTAGGTTTGGCTGACCCGGCATCTGGTGATGCACCGAGTTATCTTCGCCTCTCATTTCCTCTGAGTACGGCTCGTTATGTTCAGGATGTCGACGATATCCTTGTGACGTGTCCTAAAATTAGAGTTGAAGGGTTTACCACGAGCCAGCAAAAACGGGGCGCGTCCCGAAAATGCGAGAGAGCTTACCATCATCGAATCCGATTGCATCGAACGACTGGATTCAGGTGAAGCGGATTCTCCGTCTAGGTTTAAAAAAAAAAAAATAAAAATAAATAAATAAATAAATAAATATTAATAATAATAAAAAATGATGGCAATTGGCAAATGAGAAATTCTCATTAATTTCTATTTTTTCTTTGTTGGCCGTCAAAACAAAGACAAAGCTGTGGAATGGGGAACCAACCTATCAAAGAAGAAATGGACATCGTGTTGTTTTTCGACCTCATCCTCTGTTATAATGGGTGACGTGTGTGAGTGAGGAAAGGGATTAGAAATTATATCGATGAGAACTCGGTGAAAAGAAGCAAGTGCGTCGGGGATAATGCGATCAACATACATTCATCTGTGAGTGATCGGGTTTTGTGTCGGATAGAGAGGAGATGGCTGAAACAGCCATTTCAACATCTGACATTTGGTCACCATCCTTTGAGGAATAGTGATCTCTTTGTGATGATGAACCATAATGTTGATTGTTGGCCAGCATCATCAAGCTTAGGCTGGCCTCTTGTTCCTGCTGTTGATTGTGGGTGGGCGGAGGCGGCGGTGGTGAATGTTGTTGTTGATGATGTTGTTGTTGGGGGGTTGGTGGTTTTTGTATTGGACGAGGGTGATAATAATCTCTTCCTCGTTCATTCGAATAGTCACCGCCATAGTGGTGATACGGCGGCGAATGTTGTGGAGGCGACGCGTGTTGGTGAGGGTGAACGACCGAACCATTATCCAGTATCCTACTCAAACTGGCACCCGAAGTTGATTGCTGTTGTTGCTGATGGTGTCGGCGGTCTGAGGAAGAAGAAGAAGCGATAAAGTTGTCGTTCATGACGTGAGATATTGAAGTTTTGCGGGAGTTCATTTCTTTTTTTTCTTTTTTTTTTTTGTTTCCTTCTGATTTCAGTGCGTGCTCAAAAAATAAAAAAGAAATCCGATGGGAGAAGAAATTATGTACAATATGGGAAGAGAGGTCGATATCGTGTATACCGGGTGAAGGGGTTCTCTTTCGCCTTTGTTACTATTATTACTATTGCTATTATTTTTTTTTTTTTTGTTTGTTTTTTTTCTTTTCCAGCTGAGAATGTCCGGGGAAACCTTTATTTCACAATTTATTTGATACGGATAAGAATAAGCTCGTTGACATTTCAACAAGAAGGAGGAAGAAGGTATGATAGAAATAAAATTTCAAGTTTAAAAAAAAAAATAAAAGTACGAGGGAGGAAACGACCACACGACAAAGAAATTGAATTTATTACAGAAAATTTTTGTAAAAAAAAAAAAAAAAAAACTAGACAAGTACAGTACCTATTAAAAAAAAAAAAAAAGATCCTTATATAAATAAATTAAAGTAAACGACCGCATCTTGTTCTTTTTTTTTTTTAACCCATATAAATTCATTGTTTAAACAACAACAACAAAAAAAAAAAAAAATATTTATCAATAGTGATCTGCGCACATAAAATATTATGTAAAACTGGGGGGCCGTTTGGGTTCCGGAACGCCGTTTCGAAACAATTAAGCCACACAGTAATTGATCAATTCATAAAGTAATAATAGGCAAGTAATGAAAATCGAGTGATAGAATTTCAACAAACGCGTGCAGTGCAGCTGCGTGACGTCATTGGAAATGAGCACACACATGGTCCCACTGCTTCTCAGCTTGGAGGTGGTTTGGCATTCGCCTTACTCCGGAAGTTTAATATGTATACATATATATACATACAAATATATATGTCAAGAGAAGAAAGAGTGATTCGAACATGAGAAGTGAAGAATGCGCGGGCGGTGCAATACTCAATTACGAGGTTGGCTACAGTTTCACGGCATATATTGGAGGCACAAAATAATGAAATATATATATATATTAAAATAAAAATCGTAAGATAGAAATAATAAAAATAAATCAGGAATGGTAATGATGTCTACGTTTATATTACTATTAACATTTAGAGTATATACATATATGGGGCAGCGGTAAGTATACGTACTGTACGCGCACAACACACTGTACACCCACATACTGTATATCGAAGTTGTGGTGTGATGGTGGTGGTACGGTGTTTTTTTTTTTTTTTTTATGATGTGAATTTTTTCGTGCATCAGAATTAGAAGTTGGTTTAATATATAAAGTGAATAATAATGTATCATCAATGAACTAGCATTTCCAAAAGAATCAATCAAATAAGATTAGTGCGACGTGCAGCAGCACAATTCAACTTATTTATGCGCAATCCGAGTTATACTGTATACATATGATTACAATAAAAGGGGATAATAGTGATACTATGGTGAAAATATGTAAAAATAAATAAATTATAAATGAGTCGAATGAAAAGAGTTGAGATGCACGTTAAAAATAGACAAGATAAAATGATAAACCATTTGAGATAATCGTTTCTTATTTCATATTTCTTCGAATGGAGAAATAATTCAAGATAGATCGTTAAAGGCAGATGCATCATCGTTCTTCAACATCCTCTCCCCTACCCCCCACCGACACAAACGGTTTTTGCTATCCGCAAGAGGTAAGGTAGGTACGTATGCACACGCACGACGGGAATGATGTCGGCGATGGTGGTGGGAGGAGGAGGAGGAGGAGGTTTGAGGATGCGCATTAAAAAAAAAAAAAAAGAAAGAAAGAAAAGATGAAAATAATAATAATAGTAAAATGATAGTAAATTGTGCTTATAGATGTATGGGTGTAATACAAAGTCATGCAGAGCTTTTTTTTTTTTTTTTTTTTTTACCGCACATCGCATTTGAAGAGGGCCCCGCATAAAAAAAAAAAGAGAGAAAAAAAATTTTTTTAACATATATGCATATGCATATGCAGCAGCAGAAGACCCCGTATATAAAAAAAAAAAAGCCGCCACTCCACTGAATTTTTTTTTTTTTTAACATACATGTATGCATAAGCAACATTTCACACAACATTTCTATTTGTCATCGTATATTTTAGTAACATTCCGCGAGTGATACAACCACTGCATACATTATTTATGTATATATGTCAATCAAACACTTTTGGATGCAGTTTGAAATCATTATGGTTAGACTGCGTTAGAATGCGCGCAATAAGTAACGTCATATCATTAAAACTAGCGTTATAGAAGGAATAACGCATCAATACGCACATCCGTATCAAACATGAAGTGCGTATATAAAAGGGATGGCGAGAAGAGACAGAGAGAATAAGAAGACAAGAGGGATATGCTTGGGGACACAATCAACATCTAATTTCCGATTCGACTTTAAACGAAGTAGAGTAAAGTGGTTATTATAATAATAATAATAATTATAATTATAATAATTATTAATATTATCATTATTATTATTATTATTATTATTATTATTATTATTATTATTATTATTATTATTATTATTCCCTTTTGTACTCGAGTACACGCGACCAAAAATAAATTCATATAAATAAATATTTAGCGATGTTGCTTTATACGTAGACGCATGAGATGATGAATATACAATATATACTGTATAATTGATTACGGAAAAAAAAAAAAAAAAAGTAGATAAAATAGAATTGTAATGAGATATGAAATGAATACAGGTTTGCTGAAGGCGTCAACCAGAATTGGAACTTTAATTTGTCTCGGGAAATCTGTAAGTCACGCTTACGTGCCCTTTTGGCAGGAAACCTGTTTGAATGTCATCAGATCACAACTTTTCCTGTTACGTGTTAGAAAAAAAAATCTTTTTTTTCTCTTTCAAGGTGTTCTGGACTAATGAAGTTTAGGCTGTACACAACGAAAAGAACAATCAAGATTTCATGTGTGATACATTAAAAAAAAAAACAAGGTGGCACAGTATGTATAAAAAAATAATGTGAAATCACGAGTCGTGCGGTCCAAAATTGGTTAGGCAACATCGAGATGTTAAAATAGAAAAACAGAGCATTTTCCCAATAAAGAAATTTGGCCCCCGCATATTGTTAAAAAGATTTGGCGAATGTTGGATTTTGCTGTGCCCTGAATCTTTCGTATTTAGATCCCATTTATCGACCTCTGATAAATTATAGTAATGTCAATGGAATAGGATGTAATAACCACTTTTCATGCATGATGCGCAATTTATGGTCATAAAACGTGTCGGGGATTCAAAGTATTTGCCGTCTATTTTAAATGACGTCCGTCTTGACATAATTAATGATCATTCTATAAGGTTTCCAATCACGCCAATGCCATGACAATGTCACTCACCCCTTGAAGAAATAATCTATCTTTCATTTATGCAGCCGAGAAAACCTTGTTGCTGTTATTATTATTTAAGGGGAGAGTCGTTCTTTTTTTTTTGGTATGCACCACTGTCGATCGCAAATTTACTCGATTCCCCATGCCCCCTTTAAGCATTACTTAATATTTTTTTTTTTTTTTTTTTTAGGCCACAAATCAGACCGATGACACTCGGCATACCTTAATTGATGTTACATAATAATACCATACCGCACTTCATTTAACGCATTAAAGAGTTTACTTTTTTATTATCATAGTAGACGTGGATTTGGGTCAGCAACTCGCACACGCGCACACACACAGTATTGCCCACCCGTATGTTATCACTTTGACATACGCCGCTCTCATTCATTCACATTCCATTCATTAATTCATTTACTCATTCATTCATTCACTCACTCACTCACTCACACTCATTTGCATGGGGAAGATCCGAAAACTTTTGCAACGGTGTAGGCACATTATTATTTCTATTATTATTATCACTATTGTTATTTACTAATGTCACCTATTGTTTCTGCAAACAACATATCTGTATGTTTTTTGGCGGAAAATTTTCAAGTAATGCTGCGCCACGTGCGTAAATAGTTAAATTTGCGTCGCATTCCTTCGCGCTTTTTTTTCTTTTATTGAGATTAAATTAATTGGTCGATCAATCAATTTAATCAATTAATCAATCGACTAATTAATCGATTCATTAAACTTTACCATACATCCTCGTGTGCACACGTACAATGCTAGTGCCTCCACATTTTCTCCCCCTCCGTCTCTTACCATCTATGGTTACGGTTACATGCCGAGTGTATACAGCGCAAGTCCTTCTAACTCTTTGCCACTTGACTAATGACCTTACGTTCATCCCCTGAAAAGTTTACGGTCGTAAAGCCTGCCTGATGTGATCATCATCGTTTGTAGTTAAAACTAGTGCTCCGCTCTACGCGGTATTCTTTTTCTCACGTCTCGCATTGGTCAAACCGGCTGGGTGAGACGGTTGCTTTTCAAATGAAATGTTTGATTACTTAATCGCAGCACATAAAATGAGTAATCTAGTCACGCACGGAATCTCTACGCCAATCTCGCAATTCGGTTAGAAGATCGCGTCGTGTAACGACTACAATTGTCATTTCACACACAGGCGTCACTGTCATGATGGGAAACACCATGGGATTCCTACTACACACCGTCCTGTGACAAAAAATAGGCTCGCCTGGATTCTCTCTCTCTCTCGTGGTGTCCTATTTCACACTTCCCGGAATGAAAATCACTCGACGCACGCCATTTAAAGGCAACAATGTCGCTTGCCACACGGGAAGGTGTGCGCACGTATCCTTCGGATAGATTATGGCGACGCATCATTTTAAAGATCAGAAATTCAAAAAAAAAAAAGCTTAATGCGGAGATGAGTACCTCGGTTTTTTTTTTTTTAAGGTTGTCTTAAAATATATTTGCGTATACATATACAATATATATACTGTATATATATATATATACTGTATATATACTGTATACTGTATATATATACTGTGCACAATGTGCGTTTGGTGTAATGCGCATTGCGGTATGTACGGTACATACATATGTATGCATGCGCGCATGCAAGAGTTTACATCAATTCGTATCAGATTATGTACAATTTGTGGAACCACCTATTCATACCCTCCTTGAGTTGTTGACTGCACAACAACAAATAAGCAAGTGCAAAAGGACCACATCAACAAAGATGCAATGGGTAGATCCTTCTGCAGCTGTTAACGCAGTAAAATGAAATTACACCAACGGAATGAGTAAACAAATAACCGACAATCTTCGAGGTGCCATTCGAAAAATCCACAAAAACAAATGATGCGGTGCAATAACTTTCTGAGAACCCAAAATCCAATGAAACCAACTCGTATAAATAAACAAATAAATAAATAAATGATAGATATGAACGTACATGGGAGTTACTTACGCTTACAGAAAATTCCCGTTGTTTTCTTGATAGCAGGTGCGGTAGAACAAGGCACACGAGCCAAGGAGAACTTGTGAACGACATTTCGTTATCTCGGTTATCTGAGGAGGGATATGATAGGCGACCCGTAAATAATTGGTGGTTCCAAATGTGTTATCACCTGCTCAGTGTCAGTCCACTTTCCTAAACCCGTTAAAAGGAAACCTTTTCTTTTACGTTAAACCCGGTTTCCCACACGCACCTGCACGGTGAAATAGGGTTTCGGTTTGTAAACCAATCGATCTTGAAAGTAATTATTACACAAATTCGAAAGCACAACAGATAATGCACGCGGATATAAATTAACAAATCATGGTTGTATCACATCCCATCAAAAATAAACTTATCAGAGATACGATTATCATGAGGACATCATACACTTTTACCTTCTCACACGAGCGCCACCGCCTCACTTCACCCGCATAAAGAAAGAGCGTCGTCCTCCCCCATCGCGGTCTCCTCTCCACTCTCATCCTCACGAGGTTGCACCGCTTGCGAGAGCCCGCTACCAAGACGAATGCGCAAAGAGCAGAGCCTTTTGACACTGCATGCATGCCCTGTGAATCTTATTCCCAAAAGTTGTCTGGACACATGTCGGTGAAGGATGCCATGCGCCCAGGAAATTTCTTTCCCAGACTTAACGAAAACACGGCGCGCAGCGACGTTTGCTCCTGGTTGATCGCACCAGTTGATTCGGTGTCACCTCACCGGCTGTACATGCATGGTGTTGTTAGGTGTGTTTGGTGCAGGTGATGGTGGTCGGATTTAATTTCTAATGTCGATATTGCACCTACGCACATTATTTCTGCGTGCGTGCATCACGGTTTCCAATGTTCCGCACACACATTCTCACAAATCAACCATGCACCTCCCCACATAATCTTTTTTCCATATGCAGAACAAACGCATCAATTAAACACGGAAGTAGGACGTCGGTCCCGGTAAAGGTGTAAATTTCTAAATATTTCCGGGTGTTGTTTACTGCATGGTCATATCTTTTGATGTATTGTTGTTGTTGTTATTGTTGTTACCCGTATGTGATCCAAACTTGAGGCCCACTCTTGCACTCTACCCATTTTCCAATTGCAATTGTCTTTCAAAACGAATCAATCCACCACACAATCGTCGACCGCCTCTGAATGGGCAAGTTCAATTCCCCTTCTCTATTGATCGCACTCGCTGATTAGCGGGGGGGGGGGAGGAGTGCGTACACACGTACGTGCGCACGCACGCACATACATAATCGGTGATACCACTCCCAGTTTCCTATACGTGAGAATTTCTCACCATTCGACTCATACGCACAATCCAGTATTATGAATGCCGCAAGAAGTACTCTTCCCTTTTTTTTAAAGGAGAGAGAGAAAAAAAAAAGGTGTAACAAATAGAGGTGCAGGACGAATAAAAGGAAAACATGTACTGTACGTACGTACAATCCACCAACTACGCATTATTGTTAAACGGTGTTTGTCGGCAGGATTTTAATACTACCGGATTTGTATCAACAAGAGATGTGGAGTCACTATGAATTTGTTTAGATCGTGTTTTTGTTTCTTTTGTGCGTGCGCGCATCACATTCACGGAAAGTACTGTACATTATTGCATATAGTATCATGCTTGCATATAGTATCATGTGCAGGTACTGTACTCCGACGACATGCGTTGGTTTTAAAATAATTTTAAGGTTAGATGAATGCATATGCATTTCCTGGTTACACGGTGGTGAAGTTTAATACGAACCTCTTGCCAGAAAACGTTAAAACATGTAACCTTCCAAATTTGCGTTCATTTTAAAAACGCTATCTCTATAATGTATGCGGCATAATGCAATACTCGATGCATATGAACGTACAATTATTATTAAACCGCATAGGTTTTGTGTTCCAAATAATGCGGTGCAGTGTGAACATTTATGCGTGTGCGTGTGTGTTCATCAACTCCCCCCATCATCATAAAAATCTACGAATTCATCTTGAGAAAAAAAAAAAAAGAAAAGAAAAGAAAAGAGGGAACGGGAAGAACTCAACTCACCCTAGGTAAAACTCACATGAAAGAATCGGACACACTGTGCGCACCTACGATATCCATAACATGCGATGCGAGGGAACGTGATTTCTGACGAAAGAACATTGACCAGACCAGATAATAATCTTTCCATCCTCACCCCATCGTCGGCTTATTACCGCAGGTGGGCAAGTGTGGGCGGCGGGTGAGCACTGATGGTTATTCGTGCTTGCTTTCTTGCTCGCCTACGATCGCTGCCTATCATCACCTTAAGAGAGATTTTTTTCTTTTCTTTTAATCAAACTTTCGAAATGAAAGACTTTTTTTTTTTTTCGTGTGACCATTTCCTGCCAGAATCGAAGATGATAATGTGAGATGATTCTTGCTAGAATTAGCAAGGATTCTATGCGTCTGCCAACCCAAAATTTGGCGATGATGCATGGTATTCATATTTAATGCATAATGATGGCTCTCGATTTTCATATATCGTGCATGTCGCGCTAGTACAATTTGGGAGAGCGTGTTGAAAAAGATTTCTGGCGTCCAAGTCAAAGAGTAATTAATTGACTTTATTTGTTGTTTAAAGGGGTCGTTCATTGACGGTATCAAACACGGATCAAATAGATCTTCCAGAGAGGGACCACCGTTTTACGCATGCATATCGAAATCGCTGAGGCGAATGAACATATACAAATATATAAAATAATGTAGTCCGCTGTATGAACCACGCATGTACATCTAACCGAACCTTGGATATTTGAATTAAATTCCATTTCCGCTATTCCTTGTCCGTGCAGCAACTCATTGTCGTGTTGTCGAAAATTCTTGAGAAAGACGAATCATTCGGCACTCAGGGGAAGTAGAACGGCACCTAAATAATCAACAGAATCGTCAGACGATTGACCGATTGTTTGTGTTTGAGTGTCAAACTTGATTTTCTCTGAGTAGATCGGAAAAGGATAAAGAAGTTTGTTGCTCACTTTGTGATTCGTATTACACAGCGCGCATTACACATACCTACATTTCATATCCGCTCGACATTACGTTTGCCTACATACAATATATACATGGTACACCTGCCTATTCATTCATCCATCCATCATCTTACCAATCTTACAATCATTACATCTACTCATATATATTGACCGTCTGACTTCATGTGCTCTTCATCATCAACACGCTGCATGTCAGTCTTTTGTCGCTCTTCGACGGTCATTCAAACAAAGAAATTCATGAGCTTGTGCAACTTTATTTTTTTCGTACAATATTGACTTACATCATTAATAATGGTAGCACTTGCATAATTAACGATGGGAGCTCGAATAATAGACTTGTTCGCGCGCATAAACTTGCACTGACTGCACATGAACGTGAAATTTCAGATCAAGTAACTGATTTGGTTACACCAATCACAATAATCAAATAATAATCCGATGCATAAAACATGCATTATCGACCTTGAAGTGGGCAATCAGAAGAAAAAAAATTGACCGCTTTGGGCTGATCACTGTTTCATGCTTTTTTTGCCGTGGGCGCACAGAGCTGTGATGTTTTTTTTGCTGGATGCAAATATGTGTTTGCACAACGGGTGCCTTCTTAATGTAACATCTTTATCATATAGGAATTTCCGTTTTGCACGAATAACAATAATATTAGGCACGTACATATTGGTTGCATTTTTAAGAACAAATGCTGTGTGTGTGCTTTAAGTATATGTCATGTTTATTGTCCACTTACATATTTATTTTGCCTACTTATTTATTTATTTATTTATTTATTTTATTTTATTTTATTTTGTTTTGTTTTATTTTATTTATTTATTGAAAATAAAGGGCGCGGAAACTCCAATTGGATTTTTTGCGCTTACGTACGGACCTCCAATGTTCGACAAGATTCTTGACTCGCAAAAATCATCGATGGATTTAACCTGTAATACCCAATTTTAATTTCTTTGGTAATTCCGATTATTATTATTATTATTATTGCGACCTGAGTTGCAGAAAGTTAAATGATTAATTCTTGGGATCTTCGTTCAGCCTTAAATTTCATGATAATGACCAATGCACCCTAAACCATACTTGCCGTATTCACTCTTTTTTTTTTTTTCCTGTAAAACTTTAAACGTATGCTCCCAATTATTTTATTGCATTTTCAAACCGTTACGTTTTAATTACACATTTCGGAAAATCAAAAAAAAAAACACAAACTTTGTTTCGCGACACTGATCCCTTTTCGCTTTCCGTGATAACCCTCTTTTTCCCTTCAGACTCGACCGTTATCGTTCTAAGCAAAAGCGTACTCGCCTATCTCATTTTTTTTTTCACTTTCATTTTCATCTTGTTTTCTCATTTATGTTAACACGTCACCCCCGGTATTTCTACAGACCTTGAAGATTTACCGATCTTTTTTTAGTCGATTCGGCGGTTTCAGATTGCGTAATCATTCATTATATTAGAATCATCAAGGAATTCCAAAATTATTATTTATATTACAATTGTTATTTTATGTGCTGTGCTTATTTATATACTTATTATTATTATTATTTATTTATTTATTTATTGTTGTCTTCTTCTCTTATTCAATGATGACAATAATAATTATAATTTATAATTATTAATAATTGTATTAAAATAATTTATATTATATACATAGTGCATACTGTGTACCGTGTATCACGCATGTTCTATTTTATCTAATAATGATATTCTAATGCTATTAAAAAAAAAATCATGATTTTTTTTTCATAAGTTTTACTTTATATACTGTATCATTATAATGATGACAATTGTTATTTTTAAAGGAACTTGGGAATTTAATATCAATGTAATGATATATTATCTAGAAATTTTTATTTTATGATTTTTCCATTTAAATTAATTAAGAATCAAAATTTTTATTTCAATGAACAAAAACAAAATCTTTGAAAAAAAATTTTTTTTTTAAATAATGAATCATAAATAATAATGTCTTAAGAATTATTTTATTAAATAATGAAATATTTCAAGTTTTATGAACTGAATAATATAAAAAAACTTTTTTATTATTTTCAATTTGTATGTAAAAAATATATTTATATAAAATTTTTACTGTTTTAATTAATAAAAACTTGATTCTATTCTTAAAATAGCTTGAAAATATCATTAAGAATTATTATTATTATTTTTTTTTTTTATTGAAAAAAATTATTATGAAAATTTTCTATTATAAAATAATTCATTTTTTCACTTTTATTTATTATTCCAATTTTTTTTAAAAATTTTTATGAAATTTCATCTAATCTTATTCAATTTTAAATTTTTATATATTATAATTTTTATAAGGAATAATTAATACAAAACATATTCAAATTTCTATTAATTATATTTTAATAAAAATATATATATATTTTTTTTTTTTTTTTTTTTTTTTTATAAATTAACCCTCTGTCAGGTTAGTTAGGTGTGCTTTATTAAACCTTTGTAAACTATACATTAATATGTGTCGCTAA